ATTATTTCATTCACATTTACCACAAAAACCAAGGTATGAATACTGTCGTGTGCATGTTTCGTTAAACATCTGTATAATTACTATTTTTTGGATTCACAGACTTCACCCTCCCTACACCTCTGATGAATATAACAGGAAACATGTTCGATCACCATCCACTGCAAAATCATTCTGACTATGGATACGGAGAACATCAACACATTAACATCAACACGCCAGAGGATATATTTTTTCATTCTGCTTTGCCTCTAAAATCCTAATAAACACTAACAACTAAAATGTTGTGTTATTGCTGTTATTGTTATGGATATTGTTCTTATTAATAACAATAGGGGAGGGGGGATAGTTAAAAAATTAACCCCAAAAGGCTCTTCAAAAGGTTCTTCGACGATCCATCAAAAGGCGTTCTTTGAATAACTTTTTTAAAGGGGTTCTTCGAATAACTTATAGGGGTTCCCCCACAGTTTCAATTGGAAGAACCCCTAAAGGATCCTCCAGGAACCTTTTCTTTTTAGAGTGTAGGCTACTGTTCACTCAATTAAGATGAGAATTTGGATAACTAAAAGACAGATTGGAGTCTTTTCATTGTCATCTCTTTACAGCAATAGCCATTTTGCTTTCCAAACAGTTTTTCCACGATTGTATTTTTAAATATTGCGATATGCCTGGCTGGGTATCTCTGCCTTTCACTGACAGTCGCAATTTAACATCCATCGCGCTGCCCAAATGGCTGCCGGTTCCGATTTAAAACAATCCACAGCTTTTTTATTTTAAGAAGCTAATGATCCTCTGTGGCCAAATCATGCTTTCTGGTGTTGTAGACTATTTTGAAAGATGTTTTATTTATTTCTGTACAGACAGGAAGGAGTAAGATAATTAGGATTTTAATTTTTTTGCAATTTAATTCAATTTACTTTAGGGAAAGCTTAGCTTCCTCTATCCTTATGGAGGCACCACCTATGCATTTTAATGTATCATTAACACAACCAGTCATTATGTTTTCATCTGATTGTCTAACAATCACTTTACCCCTCCCTACATGTACCAATTACCTCGACTAACCTGTACCCCCGCACATTGACCCCTGTACATAGCCTTGTTATTGTTATGTAATTTTATTGCGTTACTTTTTATTTTTTTTATTTAGTTTATTTAGTAAATATTTTCTTAACTCTATTTCTTGAACTGCATTGTTGGTTAAGGGCTTGTCAGTAAGCATTTCACGATAAGGTCTACACCTGTTGTATTCGGCGCATGTGACAAATAACATTTGATTTGATTTGATTTGATCTCCCCTCTGCATAGCTGGCATACACAATAGGAGGGTGTGTGTGTGTGTGTGTGTGTGTGTGTGTGTGTGTGTGTGTGTGTGTGTGAGTGAGTGAGTGAGTGAGTGAGTGAGTGTGTATGAGTGTGAGTGTGAGTGTGTGTGTGTGTGTAAGTTTACTTGTTTCCCTACATTATCAGGACCCCAATGTCCTAACAACTCACCCCAATGTCCTGAAAAGGTAGGACAACTTTTTTTCAGGTCCTGAATTTGTTCAAATGTTATTTTAAGCTTAAGGGTTACATTTGGGGTTTTGGGGTTAAGGTTAGGGGTAGGGTTAGGTTTAGGGTTACATTTATGGTTATGTTTTTTGTGGTTAAGGTTAGAGTTAGGGTTAGATTTAGGGTTAGGGTTAGGTTAAGGTTTAGGGTTAGGGGAAAAGAGGATTTCTATTGGCCAAACATTTTTACACTCCAAAAAGTCCTGAAATTTCACAAAAACAAAGCTGTGTGAGTGTGTGTGTGTGTGAGAGATTGTGCGTGGTTGCATGTGTTTGTGCGTGTGTGTGAGAGATTGTGCATGGCTGCATGTGTTTGTGCGTGTGTGTGAGAGATTGTGCGTGGCTGCATGTGTTTGTGCGTGTGTGAGAGAGATTGTGCGTGGCTGCATGTGTTTGTGCGTGTGTGAGAGAGATTGTGCGTGGCTGCATGTGTTTGTGCATGTGTGAGAGATTGTGCGTGGCTGCATGTGTTTGTGTGTGTGTGTAGTTCATCTGTTCAAGGCAGAAGTCTGCTGACATAAATGAAATAGAGTCTGGGGTCCTCATCTTTCTCTGTCCTGTACTAATCCTCTCTGTATTTGGAATTCTAAATCTGCAGGCTTAAGAACCATTAGACAAAGGCTTTACAGCAGGGTTCCCCAACTGGCGGCGCGCCGGACGAATTGGAGCAACAAAAAAAACATTGTTGGACATAAAAGATTGTAAAACAAAATACCAGGAAATCAGTTTGAAGTGATTTTAATTTAAGAAATCTGTTCCGAATTATTCCCACACATAATTGAGAGACACACGACATGATCCTATACAAATGTAAGCAAGGTTTGAAATTATTTTGTTTTAGTCAAACATTATATCTGTTTCTGCTTCTTGCGGTCAATTGGCAGTCTACAAATTATATGTAATTATGTTCCGGCCCCCGACCATCCGCTCAAGAAAAAAATCTTAATTGTGAACAAGCCGTCATGCAGTACACTAAAAGGAATAAAACAGATCACACACACACACAAAAAGAGTGAGGAGAGAGATAAAGTGTCATAGAAAGAAAGGGAGAGAGGGAGAGAGGTTTTCGGGGACAGAACCGTTAGATAATCGCTTTTATTCTCAACTGACAATGCGCTCCAATTTGCCGCCTGTCCACAACCTCGGGTTGAACCAATGAAGATGATGTGGAATTAATATGGATGGGGGAGAAAAAAAACTCCAGATTAGTTCCTGAAAGTGAACGCGCTGTACCTACTCTGTAGGGACGGACCTGTGTTGGGGGAGATGAGCTGTTTCCACTGGGCACAGACGTCAATTCAAAGTCCATTCCACGTGAAACAACGTTGATTCAACCAGTGTGGTTGTTTTTGTAAGAAGACAAGAGCTCTCGGGGTAGCCTAAACTTGGACAGACATCACTCTGACATAACTCTCATGATAGGTAGGCTACTGAGCTAAATTTTCCGTCTCGGATTTCGTTTCGTACTACGATTTCGTTTCGCACTATGATAACACACCAAATGATGAATAGGCCTTCCATGGTTTGGAAAGTTGTCTGCGCGCAGCGGAGCACCTATGGCCGGTCAGTTTGAAGGATGTTGGAAGCGAAACAATGATGGAAGTCAATTCACCAAACAGTAAGAGAGGATAGAACGGCTTGTCAGCGACGGTAAGTCACGTCCTGTCTTTGTGACGTAATTATTCTGCCATGCATACTTTGCTATGAAGGCCAAATAGTGGTTAAAAAACACACACAAAACACGATAAATATTTTTTTCTTTTCTATAAAGCTATTCACTAATTACTGCATATACGTATAATGGATTTATTTCTAAATCGTCATATATCCATATTCATATTATATTTCAGCCCCATATATTCATATCGATATTATAGTTCAGCCTCATATTTAATTCACACGTTTCTCAAATGGCTTACTGGCTCCCTCAAGATGGCAGACATTTTTATCACATTTTAGCTCCCAAATGTAATCAGGCTAAAGTATTTGGCCATTTGGAATTGATTTGGAGGAAGACACGATAGGCAACGTGTCCCAAATGGCACCCTGTACCCTACATAGTGCAATGTATGGGGCTGATGGTCAAAGGTAGTAGTGTAGTGTAAAAGGGCGCCATGGTTAAGCGCATTAGTCGTAACAGATTCATAATGAAAGCTTTTCCAACTGGCGGGGATATTCTTGGGCCAGGCCTATGCAATAACTCTGAAATTGAATGTCTGAAGACCAACATTTACCAGACACACGTAGAGACTATCATAGACCTATACCAGGGTTTGGGGACTAATGGATTACATGTAATCACTGTGTCCCCGAGTGGCGCAGTGGTCTGTGCCACTAGAGATCCTGGTTCGAATCCAGGCTCTGTCGTAGCCGGCCGCGACCGGGAGACCCATGGGGCGGCGCACAATTGGCCCAGCGTCGTCCAGGGTAGGGGAGGGAATGGCCGGCAGGGATGTAGCTCAGTTGGTAGAGCATGGCGTTTGCAACGCCAGGGTTGTGGGTTCGATTCCCACGGGGGTGCCAGTATTAAAAAAATATATATAATAATAATGTATGCGAGTGGGAATCGAACCTAACTGTAAGTCGCTCTGGATAAACTCTGACCACCAATCAGAGACCACTATGATGACACACCAAATGATCACCACCAGTCAGAGACCACTATGATGACACGCCAAATGATGACCACCAATCAGAGACCACTATGATGAGAGACCACTATGATGACACACCAAATGATGACCACCAATCAGAGACCACTATGATGACACGCCAAATGATGACCACCAATCAGAGACCACTATGATGACACGCCAAATGATGACCACCAATCAGAGACCACTATGATGACACACCAAATGATGACCACCAATCAGAGACCACTATGATGACACACCAAATGAATTTGCTGAATCCTTTTTGTCTTCTTCTAATGCCTTTTAAGGGGAAAGTAACAGAAAGTAATCAGATTACGTTACTAAATTTGGGTAATCCCAAAATTACGTTACTGATTACAATTTTGGAACGGTAACTAGTAACTGTAACAGATTACATATAGAAAGTAACCTACCCAACCCTGTCCTATATACATAGGGTTGCACAATTTCTGTAATTTAACCAATATTCCCAGGTTTTCCAGAAATCCTGGTTGGAGGATTCCAGATGTCCTGCTTCCAACAGAGATTTCTGGAAAGCCTGGGACTTTTGTGAAAGTTACCAGAATATTGCAGCATCTTTAAAGTGAAAGGCTTTTTAGAGAGCTAGTGCAAGGCTTCAGGTGTCAAGCTAAATTAATCATCCAACAATCTTGGCTCCTGACTTCCCAGGTCCGTGGCACTCTTCCTGACCACCTGACCATACACACACACACACACACACACACACACACACACACACACACACACACACACACACACACACACACACACACACACACACCATCCCAATGTCACCATGCCCATAATCAGCAACGCCAACCATGACTTCGCCAACTACTCGGTCAGCAGTGACAACAGCAGCCTGGACTGCTTCTTCACAGAGATCCCAGAGACAGAGACGGTCAAGGGAGTGTACTACCAGCGTGCCCAGCTGCTCCGCAACGACCCCGACGGGGCCTGGCCCTCTGTCGACCACACCCTGCAGGTACTACTAGTACTGCTACTGCTGCTGCTACTACTGCTACCTACTACTAGTACTACTACTACTACTACTACTTACTACTATACTCACATAGCTGCTACTGATACTACTACTACTACTACTACTCACGCTACTACTGTACTACTACTACTATCACTACTAGCTATGCTACTGCTACTGCTACTGCTACTACTACTACTACTACTACTACTACTACTCTACTGCTACTACTACTACTATACTACTACTGCTACTACTCTACTACTACTGTACTACTACTACACTTACTATACTACTCTACTGCTACTCTCTACTGCTACTACTACTGCTCTACCTACTACTACTACTACTACTACTACTACTACTCTCTACTACTTACTGACTACTAGCTACTACTACTACTACTACTACTCTGCTACTACTCTACTGCTACTTCTGCTTACTACTACTACTACTACTAACTACTACTACTTACGCTGCTACTACTACTACTCTACTACTACTACTACTACTACTTTACTACTACTCTACTACTCTACTACACTACTACTACTACTACTACTACTACTACTGCTACTACTACTCTACCTACTACTACTACTACTACTGACTACTACTACTTACTACTACTACTGACTGACTACTACTACTACTACTACTACTACTACTACTACTATACTACTGCCTACTACTTACTACTGACTACTACTACTACTACTACTACTACTACTACTCTACTACTACTGTACTACATACTTAACTACTACTATCCTACTACTACTACTACTACTACTACTGCTACTACTACTACTACTTACCTCTATACTACTAACTTACTACTACATCTACTAACTACTCTACTACTACTACTTACTATACTACTACTACTACTACTACTACTACTTACATACTACTACTAGCTCTACTGCTACTAAACTACTTACTACTACTACTCTACTACTACTACTTACTAACTACTACTACTACTGTACTACTACTATACTTACTACTACTACTATACTACTACTACTACTACTACTCTACTACTCACTGACTACATACTACTACTACTACTGCTACTGACTACACTACTACTACTACTACCTACTACTTACTGACTACTACTATACTACTACTACTACTACTGTACTATACTACTATACTTACTACTACTACTACTATACTACTACTTCTACTACTACTACTAACTACTAGCTCTACTCTATACTGACTACTACTACACTACTACTACCTACTACTGACGTACTACACTCGCTACTACTTACTACTACTAACTGCTACTACTCTACTGATACTAACTACTACTACTCTATACTCTGCTACTGGTAACTCTACACTACTACTGCTACTGCACTACTTGACTACTACTACTACTACTACTACTACTACTGACTTGACTGCTAGCTACTCTATTGACTGACTACTATGCTACATTACTAACTATATCTACTACCTAACTATAGCTTACTCGTTACAGCTTGCTAACTGACTACACTCTACTACCCTACTACTTCACTCTGACTAGCTTGTCTGACTGATGTACTGAGACATCGTTGTACACTATGAGTTATGACTACTGACTGACTACACTGATTCACTGAACTACCTAGATCCTATCTGACTATGTGTACCGTGTCATGCACTTGCTAACTGGTACTACTAAGTGTCTCCTGACTACTGGACATTCCTCTGACCCTGGGCTGTACTATGCTCAGCGGTACATCGCTCTGTAGTACTTATTACAGCTATGTTGCTAACTACATTTATTTCACTAAATTCTCTGTCGGGAACCTCTTCAGACTATTGCTACTACGATACTGGACACTTATCACCTGTTAACACTTGCGTCACTGCAATGTTGAAATGTGTAGTAACATCGTTGTCAAAGTTTTATTTTAAATGAGCTATTTATGACAAACGCTTTTTGAAATCAATAAAGCCCATTTATTGTCCTGTTCCACCTTCAGTGTCTAATGCAATTTTACATGACGACCTGTGCATTATTTGACAGCTGAACTGTGGCGGGGTCTGCTCCAGCCCCGAGGACATCGCCGGGCTCTGTGACGACTACGATGAGACCCGGAGGGAGTACTTTTTCGACCGGAGCCCCACAGCGTTCAGGGTCATCCTGAACTTCCTGGCGGCCGGGAAGCTCCGCCTCCTGCGAGAGCTATGTGCCGTGTCACTGCACGATGAGCTGGACTACTGGGGGGTCGATCCCACCCGTATGGAACACTGCTGCCGCCGGCGCATGTTGACATGTGTCGAGGAGGTACATCGTTTCTGTAAAGTGTTATTTTTTATTTTATTAAACTTTTTTTTTTCTCATTTATTTTACACAAATCTGCCTTTTTTCAAGGAGAACCTGGTCAAGAAGACGGCTCCATTTATTGGGACATTTACACTACCGTTCAAAAGTTTGGGGTCACTTAGAAATGTCAATTTTTTTTGTAACATCAAATTGATCCGAAATACAGTGTAGACATTGTTAATGTTGTAAATGGCTATTGTAGCTGGAAACTGCTGATTTTTTAATGGAATATCTACATAGTCGTACAGAGGCCCATTATCAGCATCCATCAGTCCTGTGTTCCAATGGCACGTTGTCTTTGCTAATCCAAGTTTATCATTTTAAAAGGCTAATTGATCATTAGAAAACCCTTTTGCAATTATGTTAGCACAGCTGAAAACTGTTGCGCTGATTAAAGAAGCACTAAAACTGGCCTTCTTGAGACTAGTTGAGTATCTGGAGCATCAGCAATTGTTGGGTTCGATTACAGGCTAAAAATGGCCAGAAACAAATAACTTTCTTCTGAAACTCGTCAGTCTATTCTTGTTCTGAGAAATGAAGACTATTCCATGCAAGAAATTGCCAAAATACTGAAGATCTCGTACAACGCTGTGTACTACTCCCTTCACAGAACAGCGCCAGAATAGAAAGAGGAGTGGGAAGCCCCGGTGCACAACTGAGCAAGAGGACAAATACATTAGAGTGTCTAGTTTGAGAAACAGACGCCTCACAGGTCCTCAACTGGCAGCTTCATTAAATAGTACCCGCAAAACACCAGTCTCAACGTCAACAGTGAAGAGGCGACTCCGGGATGCTGACCTTCTAGGCAGAGTTGCAAAGAAAAAGCCATATCTCAGACTGGCCAATAAAAATAAAAGATTAAGATGGGCAAAAGAACACAGACACTAGACAGAGGAAGATTGGAAAAAAGTGTTATGGACAGACAAATCGAAGTTTGAGGTGTTCGGATCACAAAGAAGAACATTTGTGAGACGCAGACCAAATGAAAAGATGCTGGAGGAGTGCTTGATGCCATCTGTCAAGCCTGGTGGAGGCAATGTGATGGTCTGGGGGGTGCTTTGGTGGTGGTAAAGTGGGAGATTTGTACAGGGTAAAAGGGATCTTGAAGTAGGAAGGCTATCACTCCATTTTGCAACGCCATGCCATACCCTGTGGATGGCGCTTGATTGGAGCCAATTTCCTCCTACAACAGGACAATGACCCAAAGCACAGCTCCAAACTGTGCAAGAACTATTTAGGGAAGAAGCAGTCAGCTGGTATTCTGTCTATAATGGAGTGGCCAGCACACTCACCGGATCTCAACCCTATTGAGCTGTTGTGGGAGCAGCTTGACCGTATGGTACGTAAGAAGTGCCCATCAAGCCAATCCAACTTGTGGGAGGTGCTTCAGGAAGCATGGGGTGAAATCTCTTCAGATTACCTCGACAAATTGACAACTAGAATGCCAAAGGTCAGCAAGGCTGTAATTGCTGCAAATGGAGGATTCTTTGACGAAAGCAAAGTTTGAAGGACACAATTATTATTTATATTAAAAATAATTATTTCTAACCTTGTCAATGACTACATTTCCTGTGCATTTTGCTATATTTCCTATTCAAACTCATTTAATGTATGTTTTCATGGAAAACAAGGACATTTCTAAGTGACCCCAAACTTTTCAACGGTAGTGTATGTCAAATTGACTTTATAACTAAAGCTTGATCTTTGATTGTGATCTCGATTGTGATCTCGATTGTGATCTTGATTGTGATTTTTGATTGAGGTGGCGGAGCGTGAGCGTAAGGAGGAGGAGTGGAGACAGAGGAGGATGAAGCTACAGAGGCTCCCCCTGTTGGCGGAGACGGAGACGGGCTACGGCAGGCTGATGAGCAGGTAGAAACAGCAGTGTTAAACCCTAGGTACAGATCTGGGATCAGCGTGTCCCCTCCTCTAATCCAAACCTTAAACGTTACTGGTGATAATGCTAAACTGGCCCAAGATCAGCATCTTCACCCAGCGCCCAGGTACATGTATAACTGTGGTCATATGCTCTGTCTAACAGTGGTCATATGCTCTGTATAACTGTGGTCATATGCTCTGTATAACTGTGGTCATGCACTCTGTATAACTGTGGTCATATGCTCTGTCTAACTGTGGTCATGCACTCTGTATAACTGTGGTCATGCACTCTGTATAACTGTGGTCATATGCTCTGTCTAACAGTGGTCATATGCTCTGTATAACTGTGGTCATATGCTCTGTATAACAGTGGTCATATGCTCTGTATAACTGTGGTCATGCACTCTGTATAACTGTGGTCATATGCTCTGTCTAACAGTGGTCATATGCTCTGTCTAACAGTGGTCATATGCGCTGTATAACGGCGGTCATATGCTCTGTATAAAAGTGGTCATATGCTCTCTATAACAGTGGTCATATGCTCTCTATAACAGTGGTCATATGCTCTCTATAACAGTGGTCATATGCTCTCTATAACAGTGGTCATATGCTCTCTATAACAGTGGTCATATGCTCTCTATAACTGTGGTCATATGCTCTCTATAACAGTGGTCATATGCTCTCTATAACAGTGGTCATATGCTCTGTCTAACAGTGGTCATATGCTCTCTATAACAGTGGGCATATGCTCTGTCTAACAGTGGTCATATGTTCTCTATAACAGTGGTCATATGCTCTGTCTAACAGTGGTCATATGCTCTCTATAACAGTGGTCATATGCTCTGTCTAACAGTGGTCATATGCTCTCTATAACAGTGGTCATATGCGCTGTATAACGGCGGTCATATGCTCTGTATAAAAGTGGTCATATGCTCAGAGACTGGTGAGGGACACAGAGGGCTTTCTTTCTCTTGTTGTTTGTTCAGAAGACAAACTGTCAATGCACTAAGTACTGATCTGGCGAGTGTGATTCCAATAGCTGTGTCCCTCCTTCAGGGAACAGTACTATATTCATAACTTTACGTTACGTCTTCATGAATGCGTAAGACAACAGGATCTGTAAACGAGATCTCCAACAATGGAAAATAGGATTTTTTCCAAACTCTGTTCCACAGGTTGAGAGAGGTGGTGGAGAACCCCCACTCCGGCTTGGCGGGGAAGATGTTCGCCTGCTTCTCTGTGATCATGGTAGTTGTGACAGTCATCAGCCTCTGTATCAGCACCATGCCTGATCTACGCCAGGAGGAGAGCAAGGTGAGTGGAGCATAACCGCTGAGCTAAAGCCTAGGGGTTAGCTTGGGGAGCTGATACAAGTCTTACGGTGAAAGGAACCTACTGAAATATGCATGTCCTGCTTTCAACCATTTAGATTGTAAAGATAGCTCACCATCAATAGTTGAACCAACCTTTGTTGAAAAAAAAAGGTACATTTCTCGGGCAACTGTAGTTTGTTTCACTCTCAATGTCTTTTCCCATGTCTAAACGCTATCACAACCACTCTCTCCATCTTCATCTTAATAATGTATTTATCTTTCTTGTCTCTTCCTCTCTCTCTTTCTGTCCCTCTCCTTCCTTCTGTCTGTCTGTCAGTCTCTCTCTCTCCCTTCTCTCTCCTCCCTCCCTCTCTGACCTCCTCTCTCTCTCTCTCTCTCTCTCCGTCTCCAGGGCGAGTGTTCCCAGAAGTGTCATCACATGTTTGTTGTGGAGACGGTGTGTGTAGCCTGGTTCTCCCTGGAGTTCATGCTGCGGTTCCTCCATGCTCGCTCCAAACTAGAATTTGCCCGCGGGCCCCTGAACATCATCGATGCTGTGGCCCTCCTACCCTACTACGTCTCTCTGGTGGTGGTTGAGAACAACATGACTCTGGAGGATGGCAGTGCAGGGGCAGGTGGAACAAACATATTCATTATCATGTGTTTTTGGGTGAACCATTTTTTTGTTTGTATGAAGTCACTTTATTAATACACTCAATAAGAATTATAGCAGGGTAATCTGGACAACAGTGTTATAATGGGGTTAGCTATAGCTGGCTAGGCTAACCCTCCTCCTGGACTACAATAAATCAGGCCAACCGTCCTCCTGGACTACAATAAATCAGGCCAACCGTCCTCCTGGACTACAATAAATCAGGCCAACCGTCCTCCTGGACTACAATAAATCAGGCCAACCCTCCTCCTGGACTACAATAAATCAGGCCAACCGTCCTCCTGGACTACAATAAATCAGGCCAACCGTCCTCCTGGACTACAATAAATCAGGCCAACCCTCCTCCTGGACTACAATAAATCAGGGCTGGCCAACCCTCCTCCTGGACTACAATAAATCAGGCCAACCGTCCTCCTGGACTACAATAAATCAGGCCAACCCTCCTCCTGGACTACAATAAATCAGGGCTGGCCAACCCTCCTACTGGACTACAATAAATCAGGGCTGGCCAACCCTCCTCCTGGACTACAATAAATCAGGCCAACCGTCCTCCTGGACTACAATAAATCAGGCCAACCGTCCTCCTGGACTACAATAAATCAGGCCAACCGTCCTCCTGGACTACAATAAATCAGGCCTGGCCAACCCTCCTCCTGGACTACATGTAGGATTTAGCTAGCCTGTAGGAGGGGATCGGTCCAGAAGTAGGTGATCAGTAGAATCAGCTGTGTTCAGATCCTGTAGGAGGGGATCTGTCCAGAAGTAGGTGATCAGTAGAATCAGGTGTGTTCAGATCCTGTAGGAGGGGATCTGTCCAGAAGTAGGTGATCAGTAGAATCAGGTGTGTTCAGATCCTGTAGGAGGGGATCTGTCCAGAAGTAGGTGATCAGTAGAATCAGGTGTGTTCAGATCCTGTAGGAGGGGATCTGTCCAGAAGTAGGTGATCAGTAGAATCGAGTGTGTTCAGATCCTGTAGGAGGGGATCTGTCCAGAAGTAGGTGATCAGTAGAATCAGGTGTGTTCAGATCCTGTAGGAGGGGATCTGTCCAGAAGTAGGTGATCAGTAGAATCGAGTGTGTTCAGATCCTGTAGGAGGGGATCTGTCCAGAAGTAGGTGATCAGTAGAATCGAGTGTGTTCAGATCCTGTAGGAGGGGATCTGTCCAGGAGTAGGTGATCAGTAGAATCGAGTGTGTTCAGATCCTGTAGGAGGGGATCTGTCCAGAAGTAGGTGATCAGTAGAATCGAGTGTGTTCAGATCCTGTAGGAGGGGATCTGTCCAGGAGTAGGTGATCAGTAGAATCGAGTGTGTTCAGATCCTGTAGGAGGGGATCTGTCCAGGAGAAGGGTTGCCTAGCCCTGAAATAGAAACTACTGTATAATACATGAAATATTCAACCTATTTTTGGGGATATTACCAACCTACCATATTAAACAACATTGTGTACTTTCTCCTCTGTTCTCCAGGTAGGGGCTACCTGGACAAGCTAGGTCTGGTCCTGCGTCTGATGCGTGCGTTGCGTATCCTGTACGTGATGCGGCTGGCGCGTCACTCCCTGGGCCTCCAGACCCTGGGCCTGACCATGCAGCGCAGCACCCGAGAGTTCAGCCTCCTCCTGCTCTTCGTCACCGTCGGCATGGCCCTCTTCTCTCCCATGGTGCACCTGGCCGAGAGCGAGCTGGCGCCCAACGCCGCCACCGCGCCCCAGCACAGCTTCAGCAGCATCCCAGCCTCCTATTGGTGGGCCATCATCTCCATGACGACCGTGGGCTACGGGGACATGGTGCCGAGGAGCATCCCGGGTCAGGTGGTGGCGCTGAGCAGCATCCTGAGTGGGATTCTCATCATGGCGTTTCCTGCTACTTCCATCTTCCACATGTTCTCCAGGAGCTACCAGGAGCTGAAGCTGGAGCGCGAGAGGCTGTGGAAGGAGGAGACGGGGGCCGCTCTGGCCGCTGACAACCTGGACAGCAGGAGGAAGAGGGAGGAGGAGAGGGAGGAGGAGAGGAAGGCGGAAGCTGTCGCGGAAGCGGATAGTTACTTGCCCAGAAGCCGGGACTCTGTGGAGTCTCTGTGCCAGTCCCTTGGAGGAGGGAACAGAGGGATGATGGGAGGGATGACAGAGGGGCAGCAGGCTCCTGACTGGGGGGAACAGAGGGATGATGGGAGGGATGACAGAGGGGCAGCAGGCTCCTGACTGGGGGGAACAGAGGGATGATGGGAGGGATGACAGAGGGGCAGCAGGCTCCTGGCTGGGGGGAACAGAGGGATGATGGGAGGGATGACAGAGGGGCAGCAGGCTCCTGGCTGGGGGGAACAGAGGGATGATGGGAGGGATGACAGAGGGGCAGCAGGCTCCTGGCTGGGGGGAACAGAGGGATGATGGGAGGGATGACAGAGGGGCAGCAGGCTCCTGGCTGGGGGGAACAGAGGGATGATGGGAGGGATGACAGAGGGGCAGCAGGCTCCTGACTGGGGGGAACAGAGGGATGATGGGAGGGATGACAGAGGGGCAGCAGGCTCCTGGCTGGGGGGAACAGAGGGATGATGGGAGGGATGACAGAGGGGCAGCAGGCTCCTGGCTGGGGGGAACAGAGGGATGATGGGGGGGATGACAGAGGGGCCGCAGGCTCCTGGCTGGGGGGAACAGAGGGATGACAGAGGGGCCGCAGGCTCCTGGCTGGGGGGAACAGAGGGATGACAGAGGGGCCGCAGGCTCCTGGCTGGGGGGAACAGAGGGATGACAGAGGGCAGCAGGCTCCTGATGTCATCACTCCCATCATCCCTCTGTTCCTCCCAGTCAGGAACCTATTATATTCTATTTGTCTGAAATCAAGTAACAAATTTGACAGATCAATGTGATTTGTTTTAATTGAATGAAATCTAAATTCGCATTGCATAGCAGTGGGTGCAATGTAGTGGTGGCAGCCTATCAGAAGAGTTGTAAGCGTGGTCTATTGGGGCCATGGCTTTCAGTTTGTTCTTTTTGTGAGAGTGAATGCCATTCTAGGTAATGTGTTCTGTTTTTTAAAAATGTTTATATGTTTACTGCCATCACTGAATCTTAAATGATATCTGCGTAAGTACTGTGATACTAAAGATCCTGGAAAGGGTTCCATTGATGAGATGGTCACCATTTGGTTACAATATTGTAACCAGTAAATGTGAAAGCCTTATGTAAAGAAAGGGTTTGGAGTCATTACATCATGTTATGGAACCAACTTAATATCTTGAGTAGCCCTTCACACTCGTACCCGTATAGGGGTTGAAAATGGAAGATTTGGACACTGATAAACACCTAAATTAGAACGCAGTGGCTGGACAGTAACATGCTATACATGAGGTCAGAGGTCAGCGGCTACACAGTAACATGCTATACATGAGGTCAGAGCTCAGTGGCTGGACAGTAACATGCTATACATGAGGTCAGAGGTCAGTGGCTGTACAGTAACATGCTATACATGACGTCAGAGGTCAGTGGCTGTACAGTAACATGCTATACATGACGTCAGAGCTCAGTGGCTGGACAGTAACATGCTATACATGAGGTCAGAGGTCAGTGGCTGTACAGTAACATGCTATACATGAGGTCAGAGGTCAGTGGCTGTACAGTAACATGCTATACATGACGTCAGAGGTCAGTGGCTGGACAGTAACATGCTATACATGACGTCAGAGCTCAGTGGCTGGACAGTAACATGCTATACATGACGTCAGAGCTCAGTGGCTGTACAGTAACATGCTATACATGACGTCAGAGCTCAGTGGCTGGACAGTAACATGCTATACATGAGGTCAGAGGTCAGTGGCTGTACAGTAACACGCTATACATGACGTCAGAGGTCAGTGGCTGGACAGTAACATGCTATACATGACGTCAGAGGTCAGTGGGCTGGACAGTAACATGCTATACATGACGTCAGAGCTCAGTGGCTGTACAGTAACATGCTATACATGACGTCAGAGCTCAGTGGCTGGACAGTAACATGCTATAACATGAGGTCAGAGGTCAGGGCTGGTACAGTAACATGCCTATACATGACGTCAGAGGTCAGTGGCTGACAGTAACATGCTATACATGACGTCAGAGGTCAGTGGCTGGACAGTAACATGCTATACATGAGGTCCCGAGCTCAGTGGCTGACAGTAACCTGCTATACATGACGGTCAGAGCTCAGTGGCTGGACAGTAACCCGCTATACATGACGGTCAGAGGTCATGGGCTGGACAGTAAATGCTATACATGAGGTCAGAGGTCAGTGGGCTTACAGTAACATGCTATACATGACGTCAGAGCTCAGTGGGTGGACAGTAACATGCTATACATGAGGTCAGAGGTCAGTGGGCTGTACAGTAACATGCTATACATACGTCAAGCTCGTGGCTGACGTACTGCTAACATGAGGTAGAGGTCAGTGGCTGACAGTAACCTGCTATACATGAGGTCAGAGGTCATGGCTGGACAGTAACATGCTATACATGACGTCGAGCTGTACAGTAACATGCTATACATGACGTCAGAGCTCAGTGGCTGTACAGTAACATGAGGTCAGAGCTCAGTGGGCTGGACAGTAACATGCTATACATGAGGTCAGAGCTCAGTGGCTGTGCAGTAACATGCTATCCATGACGTCAGAGCTCAGTGGCTGTACAGTAACATGCTATACATGACGTCAGAGCTCAGTGGCGTACAGTAACATGCTATACATGAGGTCAGAGGTCAGTGGCTGTGCAGTAACATGCTATACATGAGGTCAGAGGTCAGTGGCTGGACAGTAACATGCTATACATGAGGTCAGAGCTCAGTGGCTGGACAGTAACATGCTATACACGAGGTCAGAGCTCAGTGGCTGGACAGTAACATGCTATACATGAGGTCAGAGCTCAGTGGCTGGACAGTAACATGCTATACATGAGGTCAGAGCTCAGTGGCTGTGCAGTAACATGCTATACATGACGTCAGAGCTCAGTGGCTATACAGTAACATGCTATACATGACGTCAGAGCTCAGTGGCTGTACAGTAACATGCTATACATGAGGTCAGAGGTCAGTGGCTGTACAGTAACATGCTATACATGACGTCAGAGCTCAGTGGCTGTACAGTAACATGCTATACATGAGGTCAGAGCTCAGTGGCTGGACAGTAACATGCTATACATGAGGTCAGAGCTCAGTGGCTGTACAGTAACATGCTATACATGACGTCAGAGCTCAGTGGCTGTACAGTAACATGAGGTCAGAGCTCAGTGGCTGGACAGTAACATGAGGTCAGAGCTCAGTGGCTGTACAGTAACATGCTATACATGAGGTCAGAGCTCAGTGGCTGTACAGTAACATGCTATACATGACGTCAGAGCTCAGTGGCTGTACAGTAACATGAGGTCAGAGCTCAGTGGCTGGACAGTAACATGAGGTCAGAGCTCAGTGGCTGTACAGTAACATGCTATACATGACGTCAGAGCTCAGTGGCTGTACAGTAACATGCTATACATGACGTCAGAGCTCAGTGGCTGGACAGTAACATGCTATACATGACGTCAGAGCTCAGGGTCTACGCTTCACATATCTGTTTTTGACTGACAGCCGTTCTGAAATTAAGCACCGCGGGACAAGAAGCTGCCCCCATCCCTCCCGCTAATTGGGCAACTTTTTCATTTTTTTTGGGGTTGTTGTCTGAATAAGGGAAATGCTGTAAATTACGAGGACTCAATATATTTTTTTCAAAATTAGACATCGAGGATTAGAATAAATACCGCTTCGATGTCAATACAAGCGAGACAAACACCCAAGACTCCAAAGGTGCATTTCCATATCATAAAACTCGTGTCATATACAGGGTCAACGTTTATGATCACTGTGTTTCATGTACAGCTACAAGATGACGTGGCGTTATCACCCTGGGTTCGTCCTGAACAGAATGAGCCTGTTTGTTCTATTGTAAAGAACATTTGGCGCGGACCACAGCATCTGTGAATGCACTGTTGACTCCATTCTATGCGCACCGAAAATTACACAATCTGTTTCTCTGAATTGCCTTGTGAAAGCCTAACACTGTAGGATCGTATTTTATTATTTAGCTAGTCATGTTGGCAATAGAACACGCGTTCAAATGATGCCCACCTGACCCAGATTGCGATTTATAATGGATTGCGTAAACAACAACAGTAATTGTGTAAAGGCGGGGCTGTGTTCCAAAGAAAACAACTACAAATTTGCTTGCTCTACTTCCTCAATCGCACAGCTAGGAGAGATTTTTTAAAAAAGCACCTTATAGTTGAAAACGCTTCTTTGACTCATAAAAGTGCATTGAAACTACTGTGTACACTTCGAAGAGGTGTGTGGCCACTTGGAGACACCAGTTAGACCTCTCACTCAAACCCTTGTCATTGTTTTGTTCTATGTTGCATCTACCCCAAGTTTTCCAATAATATTCTTATCATATTACTGAATGTATCCAGAGTATTTTCAGATTTCGTTATCAACAAATGCTGCGAAAAGTACAGTACATGTAAAATTCACATGCAATCAAGTGTAATGTTTGGATTCAGTCTTGTGTCAGGTGAACTGTTGTGTCCTCACTTTTAGTCTAATCGTTTTCCCATAATCCCTGTAAATTTCTACCATGGTTATGCATTTCCATATTTATTCCGTAAGAACCATTTCAATTTATCCCTTTCCATATTAGGAAATGTATTTACTTCAATGTAACCCAATTGAATACATTTGGATAGGAATTTCCAAAGTGAAAAATAAACTTGGTACAACATGAAAAAATGGGTTGTATATATATCACATTTTTATTGCTTTGGTGCAATTTTCACAAGTATGTGGTACATTTTCACAACTCTTAGTACAAAACTCAAAACAGATAATCAAAAAGGCAAATCTTTTTCACTAAACTTAATCAGTGTTTCATCTAGACATACATGTTTCATATAGCAATACATGCTCATATAAAGTAATTGTCTTTCACAATGCAATGCTCACATTACTTTTGATATGGTTCCCTTCTCTTTTGTTAAAATACATTTTACTATTACTTAATCCGACTGCTCTTAATTGATGATCACTTAAACGTTTGGTAAACCTAGAGATTTTACATGTAAACTGGTTTGTCTACTACAGACTATGAGAACTACATAGTGAAAATGTAACGTAGAATCGTATTTATTCCTCGTTATTTGTCTGTTTTTCTA